ACCAGGGTACTGCCCCCACTCATTACCCAAAGGGTCATGTAGGTATATGGTACATACTTAGGGCCCAAAGGGGTTCCCATATACCTACTTTAAGGCCCAAGTATACCCCATATAGCTACATGGACCCTTTGAGTTAACAGTTGGAGAATAAATCGAAATGTAGTTCTGTATAGCCCTTAGTATGAGCCCTGTTCTAGACTGTCAATGGGCGGGGCCAGGACCCAACACATCCTAAACTTAACCCTAAACCCTTAAACCCTTCAACCTTAAACCCTATTCCCTAAACTAAGCCCTAAATAGTAGTTTCTATTTTCCATTATCTCTATAAAGCCACTATATAACCAGACCCATTGGTACAAGGACCCCCTCCATAAGTTGAAGTGGGCCAAACTTGTGCCAAGGCAGGCCAGTGTTTACTTCGTGTACTGTAAGGCCTTGGCCAGCATGACTTTTGAAAGATTCATCATATGTTTTGGGTCAGTCCTCCTAATAGTAACCGTCCTTAAGGTTTATTTAGGAAGGGGCTAACAGTACTCCGAAAACTCATTTCGGTAACAGTTATGGTAAGAGGGACTGACTCGGAATGATCTAATGTATGTTTTCCTACTAAACGGACGCGGTGGAGATATCCTGCGAGCCTCATGCTTCCTCCAACCCTGGGACTCCAGAAGTCTATGAGGTAGTTTCCGAAAATAAGGGGACCCCAATATAGACCCCACAATACTATAATCCTTATTATGGGGACCCCCCAAAAGGTGCCCCTAAATTTGGGAAACCCCATGAATGATACTTCAACTCCACCCTGACATCCATAAGCAGCACTAGCACCTGCATCTGGCTATTGGGAGCATTGGTCTCAAGGTTTACGGCTGGGTCCCTGAAGCATATTATCGCGCAGTCCTCAAATGAGCCACTGTCTAAACTCCTTAAAGGGGAGTTATATAGGGGATTATTATAGGGGTTATTAGGGGGGATACTAGGAGTTTAGTCAGTAGCTCAAATGGCAGAGAGCACTTTACAAAATTGTACAGCAGCTTGCGCATTCCAAGTGCTGCGCGCTTTCACAGCTGCCAGTACAAGCGTGCTTCCAATTTTGAAGTTAAAGTTTTGGCCCCCACGTTGTTTTAAACATGTGCCGTCCCAAGCTCCGTCAAAAACACGCACGTACGGTTGCGTCTCTCTACGCTTGTCACTTTCTCTTGTCCTGTTTGCTTTGTTTCTGGTTGCATTAACGTTCTTGGAGTTCGAACTTGCGCACAAAGACAACATAGGGTTCGAAAAGCAGCTTGAGCACATGCCCTGTGCCTTCAAGCCTAAGCGCTTAGCCCCAACTAGGGGCTGCATTCGGTAGTTTCTAAATAAGGGGATCCCGATAATTATAGACCCAAATACAGACCCAACAATTTTGGTGATCCTTATCATCGTGGTCCGCACTAAGGTAGCCCTACGATTAGGAAACCCTAAGCCCTACATACCCCTATATAACCCCTGGATAACCCCTCTGAACGTACCCCTAATTTTTGGAAGCCCTAAACTCTACATATCCCTATATAACCCCTAGATAGCCCCTTTAAAGGTACACCTAATTGTAGGAAACCACCATTTTATGCCATGTCTCCTGAGGATGGTCTGGGCGCGGTGTCTGACATGACAAGACGGAACCTCGGCCGCTGGTGAGTGGCAAGGCTAGTTTTCCACGAGGATCCGCTTGCAATCCTTGCCCAAAGGGTCCATGTAGCTATATGGGGTATACTTGGGCCTTAAAGTAGGTATATGGGAACCCCTTTGGGCCCTAAGCATGTACCATATACCTACATGGACCCTTTGGGTTGCTTAGGGCTTAACGGACGTCAGTTTTGGGTGAAGGCTGGGAGTTTAGGGCGTAAGGTGTAGGTTGAGCGGAAGTAGCAGCTGAAATCCTATCCAGCTGCAATGCACAGACTTTTGAAGAAAAGTTTCCTCCTTAGAATGAAGTGGACCCTCAGCTAGAGGTCCCATGCGTGAGCGTGCTGCCATGGCGGAAGATGTATAATACCAAGAAGTCAGGTAATCCCTTCAATGTTCCTGTAGCCTGTGTGAGGAACTTGTACAACATTCTTGCAAACCCTATGCAGCTGCCAAAATGACTCGTGCTTTGTGGGTATGATATTCTCGTTAGAATGTGAGTCATTTCTTTTGCTACTGCAGCACTTGGTGGGTAAAGTGCCGAATGAGAAAGGGACAGGCGTTCCGACAGTCGCAGATTCGATATCCAGTAAGATGACGACAACCCAACGTATCACCATAGCGATGTATGCAAGTTCAGGAACTGTGGACTCTTTGGAGCCCAGACGGCAGCACGCCTAGAAGTGCCGAAAGCATGTGTGCATGAGGCATGAAAGACTCTGCCGCCACGCAGTGCCTCAGCATCTGCTTTACCTACGCAGAGCACGATTTAGGTTTGTTGGGTTTAGGGGGTGTCGTGGTCTAAGCTTTCTTGGCAAGGTCTGCTTTCTGGGGTGGGCTTGGAATAGCCAGGTAGGGAAGGGGTTTGACTGGAGAGAGAGCTTTTTCTCACAATGCAGCAAGGCTACTCAGAGTCTTCTGTATAGTTTCTTGGGTAGGATACTATGAATATATAACTTACCAAGAGCATAACGAGCCCCAAGGGAGCTACCTAGGAGCCCTTACGCCCAAACCCTAAAGTTTAAACCGAAAACCTTGAACCCTAAGAAAGTACTCTTGTACAGCTGATTCTCGGGCACGGCAAGTGGCTTTCTAATCGACATCAAGAGGAAAAAGAACAGCTTTTCTCAACTTACGCGCCGTGCAGCGTTTCAGGCCTGTGGACAACGGTCATAAGGATTTGAAAAGCTTACGGAGGGTGCCATGGCCTTTCAGATGCAGATTCAAGTGGCTACACCCGGTTGCACACCCAAGGTGAGTGGGAAGATTCTACACCACTGGGCTTCCCCGGGGTCAAAGTAAAACAATAGCCGGAAGGCCCCTGTAGGCGGCATAGGCATCACTTGGAGGTACTTTCTTTCCGCTACATCTCAAGCAGCGCGCTCACGCATGTGCAATCGGGTCAACCAAATATACCTTATACTCTGGACTCCGCAAAAAAAGCCATGGCTTGCTTCCGGCACTACTCCGCTCCGCCTAATATTTAAGCCCTCGAGATTCCACCGAAAATTAAATGTTCTCAAACAAGTATTATATACCATAATCGGTAGTATTTAATATTAGGGGGGTGGGTGGGGGTGTAATGTTAGGGGGAGAGGATTACAGGTCAAAGGTTTTGGCTTTATTCGTGGACATGGCTCACGCTGGAGCGACTTAGAAGTGCACAGCCCCAGCCGACCACTAATTCATGACTAGAACTGGCTTACTATTCAGAAGTTCAAGAGAGCTTTTCCATGTTCCATAAGTTGTTTGGGTATAAGAGCCTTATTCATATCTTTGTGTTCTAAGGTAATGTACCTCATTGCTTCAATCCGCTCAAAGCATTCAAGCGCTGAACTGGACGACTGTTTGAGTAAGGTTTAGGGGTTAGGGTTTTCTGGGAGCCATACAGCTTGTATTACTATCATGCATGACCTTAGTATAGTATAGCTTAGGTGGACCCCCCCACCCAGTAATAGTGACTACACGGGATAACAGTGATTCTTAAGGGTCCTCTTACATTCCTATTGTACTGCTATTGCAGGGTGGGGGGGGGGTGGTCCTTATATAAACTATAGCACCACAAGTCTCAAGGCTTATCTCAAGGTTCAGGGTATTTAGCATCCTATAGGATTTTTGGCATCCACCGCGTGATTCTGTGCCACCCTACCAAAGAAGGCCCTCCTCGTCCCTAAACCCTCAACCCTCAACCCCCGCCCCTTAAACCTAAACCTTAAACCCTAACCTCAGTTCTCTGGGCCCTTTGGCTAATGACAGGCATAAATCCATATTATGCCCTACAAGATGAGCGAGGCCTGACGCCAAACCCTTGAAATCACAGCACAAAATCCTGTAGACGAGTATGTTCTAGTATGATATGGGTACTTCCCAAAACTAGGGCTCTATTTTGGTAGCCCTAGATATTAGGCCCTGTAATATAAACTATAGCCAAAGTGGGGCCATAATTTTGAGAAGAACCCATATATAGATACAGTCTTGTGCAAAATAAGTTAACAGAGTAGAAGATTCCAAAACCCGGAACAATAGGCCCAGAACCTTGAACAACAAACTCAACGGAGCAAGCTCTGAACCTGCGAGATTACAATGGTTTGCTGCTTGGAGGCTCCAAGAAATTAGGGTTTCCCAAGATTAGGGGTACCTTTTTGAGGGTCCTTCTAATAAGGATTATAGTAAACTCGGGGCTGTGGTGGGGTCACCCTATCTTGCGAATTACCAAATTCCAGGCAACCTCCAATTCCACATGTCGCCTAAACATGACGACTTGCTTGCAAGTCCCGGAGCCAACGCCCAAGCTTTATAGACCTTCACAGAATGACTTCCAAACCCTCTATGAAACAGTAAGTCTTCATGAGCCGCGACACGAGCACATACACACAACAAACCAGGCCGTGAACACAGGCGAGTAGAATTCTTTATGGGGATGCTGGCAGTGGAGTAAGATACTATTCTCGTTTTGGTTGTAGTGGTCGTCGTACTTGAAGGAAACAGGTCCGTTGGGTTCAACCATCCACAACAACACTTATGTACCATAAACCCTACAAAGGGGCCTCAATATAGACCCAAAATATTAGATTCCTTATAATGGGACCCTCAGAATGGTACGCAAATGCTGGGAGACCATGAAACACTATGTTATTTATGTTCCCAGTTCCCAGTTTCCATGTCATGTTCCATGTTCTCTTGATTTGATTCTCCGTTATTGGAGCTATTTCTTCTTATATAACCCCGTATAGACCCTATAGTCCCTATTTAAATCCCACCCTAAACCCTGAACCCTAAACCCTAGAACATCCAGATAAACCCCATATCAGCAAATATGTAGGCCCCCAGTGCAGGCTCCGACTTGCTGCAGCTGAGCTTTTGCAGCAGAGGTTGGTTTGACAGGTTTAGGGTTTAGGGTCAGGGGTGCCTATTGGTGGGGGGTTTGGGGTTTAGGGGCCATTGGCGTTCAAGATGTACGGCTTGGAGGCTTTTGGGCAACAGGATCACTGTTGGCGTTGTGTATGTCACGTGAGTTCAAGAGGTACAGTTGGCTCGCTTGGCAACACAGTGTGTAGCAAAACATGCGAAAAAGGTCCTCGCACGTTGTCGCTCTCATTGGGGTCGGTGCTACAGCGTTTCTTTTAAGGAACTTAAATCAAGTTATTTTGTAACTCTGACATATAGTAAATATGAGGGTTTCCTTATTAGTAGCACAGTTTAAGTTCCTTAAGAGCAACCCAGGCTGCGTCGACCTTTGTCTCGATAATGCATCCCAAAGGTGCGCATAGGGTGGCTCAACTTGCTGGTCCCTGAAGCAATTTCAAAGGGTCCAGGTACCTATATGTTATATACATAAGGCCCAAAAGGGCTCCCGTAGAACTGCTTTAGGGCCTCAGTATATAATATTATACCATACAGCTACATGGACCCTTTGGGAACTCAACACAACAGGAGTTTCAAGTTTGCAAGATCCGTAAGTGCCCAAATCCACCTAGTGGCCAGGATCCAGGACGCGCTCGACAAGAACCTGGCTAACGTGGCATGTCGGCATGTCTCACGTAATTGTTCCGGGGACCGCGTAGGGGCTTCCTGAGTGAATGCAAGGGTCGAAAGCTTCTATCCTTCTTCCGAAATCCGCCGGATCCGCTATTTTGACCCTGCTCTTGTGGCAATATGTATCAAGCCCTAGGAGAAGATTCCGCCGGCAGAACCCTACCAGATTTTAGGAGCGGAAAGTGTGCCCCCCTTGGTGTAGGATTGTCAGCCAGAAATAGCGAAACCAGCCTCCAAAACCCTAAGCGCATACTACAGACGGAACCCCAGACATATATAGTCCCCCCTTTACTGGATAGGATATGAGGTATATGGGGATCTTATTATCATATACCCAAAGCCATATTCTATCTACTTCAGGGGGCCTATTCACTGCAAGCCCTAATTCCCCTGAACCTGCCCTTGACAGCCTAAAACTTTGTTTTCACGCTATGTAGATATACCCTAACTCCCAAGCTGTACCCCTGAACTCTAAGACCCAAACCTTGATACCTAAATCCTAAAACCTAAAGCTTCCAATGTAACCGTGAGGCGTAAAACCTTACACCATCCTAAATCCCAAGCCCTACTTGCCGAAGACGCTTTTCAGGAGAGGCAGCTGTCTCGCAAAGACCTGGCCGGCAGGAAGCATGGCGAGTTCGAGGCGAGTGATTTTGAAATGCAGCGAGGCTTGGAGGCTAAGGGTTTGTCTGTCCGGTTTTAAGGGTGTCGGGGTTTAGAGGGCTTTTGGGGATGGAGGCTTAGGTTTTTTGAGGTTTGTAGCGTTTTTAGGCCCAGCGGGTTGGGGCTTAAACTTAAGATCCGAGGTCTCATGTCTGGTTTTTTAGGGGGTTCAAAGGTTCAGGTTCCAAGCACAGCAACTGAGCAGCCAGCATATGGATAGTTCCCCAAATTAGGGTCCGATTTTGGTACCACTAACTATTAGGTGCCGTAATATAATCTCTCACCGAAAAAGGCCCATAGTATTGATGATAGCCCATATGTAGGGTGTAGCTTGAGCGATGTGCAAGAGGCAACACGCAGCCCCATTCCCTAAACCTTAAACCCTAAACCCTAAACCCTAAACCCTGAAGGGAAGAACAGCACTCAGGCCACCAACCCAATCAGTCTGAACGAACGCAAGGCACTGTACTGAACCCTCGATACGACAGAATCAGACAGCGCCTCACGGGGCATGAATACCTTTCCCAGAACATTGAAGCAAGAAAGCACCTCGGGACATACTCCACTCCTTGATTGAAGCCATGTGGTAGTTAACCTATACTCTATGAGAGCTATAATTCTACTTGAAGGTTATGAGTTACACGAATGTTTCGTGATAAGCCTATCTAGGCGAAACCTGGCGCAGGCAAGGCTGCATGAAGCTGCCATTCGGCTTTTGCAGAACGAGAGGCCAGGGTCAGGTTCCAAAATTTGGGTCCCATTGGTACCCTCAAACAAGTCTCGAAGTGCCATATTACACCACACTTCGTACACCAAATGCAGGGCCCGTAATTTTGCGACGCTTGCCCGAAATAATGCCATGCCCTGCTTTAGCTGGTTCGTGCCAGTTTGTTTGGAAAAGCTCCACGGAGCAAGACCATTCACACGAAACAGTCCAGGTCCTCTACCTGGTCATCTCCGCATGCATCTTCATGCCTGCGTCACTGAGTTCAAACACACCCTTGCTTTGGCTTCCATATTGTGTAGGTACCCCAGTGATACCCTTTTTTCCTTTTGATTTTGGGGTATGCGTATTAAAGCTGAACATTAGGGGCATAACATACTCATACCCCAGCTGCAGAGCTTGAATCAAAAAGAAATTGAACTTCAAGCTCATTATACCAAACTGACGATGGAAGAAATCCTGCAACACCACTACACCAAACTCCAGGAATACCAATAATTGCGTGCCACTACGTTGTGCAAGATGTCCTTCATCCACTGTGCTGTATCAGGCCTCTTTTGGAGGATGAACTGGTTTTCACTGAGGATCAGTGCACCTTGGCAAGAAAGAGGTCAGGTACATCCACATGGCTCCCAATTTAGGGTTTTGGGTTTAGGGTGTTGGGTTTAGGGTTTAGGCTTACTGGACAGAAAAGACCCGCTTAGAACCATCTGGTTCCTTGATCATGCTTTTTGAAGGCGTCCTCCTTAGGGGGTTCTCTTTTAATCCGGGTTCGTGTAGATATGTTCATGCGCAGAGTTTGTTTTCATATCTTGAAGCGTGTGCTCTCTCCTAACCTGCCTGCCGCAATGATGGCTTAGAAATGGAAGGAAGCACAGGGTACATCCTGAACTCTGAACAAGGTTCTCACCGTCAAGTTATCGTGCTTTCGCCGATGGGTGCCTGAGGGGCGGAGGTATACTGGAGATTGTGTGTTTGGGTGGAGGTGAGATGCGAGCAGCCTGTCATTACTGTGAATGCTGAGGCTGATTGCCCGTCCATGGGTGTCATAGTCAAGCTGCTGCATATTGTTTGTTGCGCAGGAAATGTCTGAACTAGGCATTTCTCACAAGCATTCCTAGATTCTTCAGGCAGTTCACACACATAACTAACCAACGATGTCGTGAACAACGCGGACGACATCTACTGTTGGTATGACACCTGTTTCAGCTCCGCGTCTACTCCCTTATCTCCTCCTGCTACCGATCAACAAAGGAATTCTCACGCACAAAAGAAATCTTCATGCATGGGTGCTTGATATCCCGAGGCTCTTCCTTGCGAAGTGACCTTGAGGCACGGAAAGCCGCCACGGTTGCAACGGACTTCCTAGTGGAAATTGATGTTTAGACCTATGTTTGTCAGCGCGCCCTGTCATCACGTTGTGACTTTCTCCTAGGGATTGATGAAGGAAATATTTGTAGATTTTTGGCCCCATATGGATATTCTGTATGGCCTTGGATGCCCAGGTTTAGTTTCTAACCATCATCGCCCAATTGTTGCTGCCTCTGCCAGGAATCGCAGCTGTAATAGCGGCTGCGGACGCTGCAAAATGTTCCTTTAGCGGCGGCGGGCGCGACAAAATGTTCGTTTTGCATCATGTGCGCCTCAGCCCAACATGGAGGGCTCCAAGATCCCGACATGCAGCTCTTCAAGCGAGCTATAGTCTAAACTGCTTCCGGGGGGATTTGTTAGAGGATTATATAGGGGACTACGATATAATTAGGGATTATGAAGGGGGGGTATCAGGAGTTCAGACTATGGGCCACATGAGCATTATAGGGCCCTATAGAATTATAGTAAAGGGCCCTATAGGATGCCTCCGTTAGCAACACTGGCATGTGGAAGGCAAGGAGTCAGACAAACAGCCACGGCAACACCATAGGCTTTCGACACAGATTGCCTCAGTGCCGGAAGACTGCTTTTGTGTGACAGGGTGTGCTCCATGTTCCTACAGCCGTCCAAGTGCCTTGCAGCAACGTGTTTCTAGCGGTAGCAACTGCAGGTCATGAGTGGGAGAAGCCTTGTCAAACCTTCAGGCGAGCAGGAAAAACTGCGGGTACAGATAATTACATGGCACATGCTTTGGGCCCAAATGAGTTCCTAGATAGAAGTCTTGGTGCAATTTCAACGTTCGCAGTACGGTATAAAGGTTATGTATACGATGTCGGCCCAAACTGAAGGCCAGAAAAGGCGTGATCAATATATTGCGAAGAGCAACAAAATCTCATTTTCGTGCGTGTTACCACTGCACCCAGTGTTTGGAGTTTACGGCCCAATCTTGCAGACGTGCCTGAGAAAGACCTGTGTACGGCGAACACCCCAACTGCCATAGCTCATGGCCAGACCTCCCATGAGAAAAAAGGGTTTAGGGTCTAGGGTTTACAGGGTTTTTTTAAAATAGGGGGTTTGTAGGGGATGTGTAGGGGTTATGTAGGGGTTTTAGAGGGGTATGTAGAGTTTGGGCCCAATATAGGGTTATATACGGATATATAACCCCAATAATGGAGAATTAAATGGAGGAGAAAAGGGAACACACAATGGAAACTGGGAATGCATAGTGGTTCAGGCTTCCCCAAAATTAGGGGTAGCTTTATGGGGTCACTATCATGAGGGCTCTACTCGTATGTTGGTTCAGGCCCCTCTTATTTAGGGAGTCTACCATATAGAGGAAGTAAGGTTTGCTGCTTGCCCTTGCAGCTCCGCCCAAGGAGGAACTCTTGGGTATAGGACGATATCCTACAGAATCTCTCCGGCATCCCAATGTGTTGATTATGGAGAGGACCAAGACGTCATTGGCACCGCATCCTACGATGGCTACATCAAGGTGGGCTGTTGCCCTTATGTGGGTGATTGCGTAGGGGAGTGCGGGTGCTTGGAAGAGGGTGCCAAGGGGTTTGCGTGAGGAACGCAAGTTCATGGACTCTAGGTAGGCAGTATGAGGGAATTCGAGGGTTCTTTCTTCTCCCCGGTATAGAGACCAATTCTGTTGCAGATGTTCAAGAAACTCGTGCGGGAGAATGCGCGGGACCAGAAGCTGAGGTGTAGCCATGGCCATGATTTCACAGGATGTTTTGCAGGCATGAGGATGTAACTTGAACTGGGGTAAGACAGCTGCAACACCGGAGCTTAGGCAACAAGAGTCAAGAGTCAGTTGATGGCTGTTGCCCCAAACCACCTGCAAACTCCAAGCATCCTGCTGAGAGCGCGCTGCAGAGCAACAGGACTCTTTAAAAACATCATTGGGCGTAGGGCCTGGCTAATGCCCATGAGTATTCAACAGCAGAAAATGCCATGTATACGCACAATCATCAGGAGTCAGCAGTAAATTCAAAGCCCTGAACACAAGGCCAAGTCCTTCAAGTCTCAAAGCAATGACCTGCCAGCTGTGGCGGATCTCTACCCACGAGAGCCTCCGGGAGATGTATGCTGGCAAGGACAACTTGGGTAGGTGTTTCGGATCCCTTGCACCTTTGCGAGCAGTGCTGTGTTGACAGCTAAAGGATGAGGGTCATGCGCCAAGAAGGTCTAAGGCCTAGGGTTGAGGATAGAGATGTCTTCAAGCAACCTAACAAGATTCTTGCCTAATTAGATGCTGGTGGCATGGGAGTTCGTTGTTTTAGTTCAAGCGGCCTGGCAGTGCTGGCTGCGAAAAGAGGCTGGAAAAAGACATGACATCCCATTTTGAGGCGGCAGTTTTTTTCAGGATGCTAGAATATGTATCTGGAACTTCAGTGGTTGGCCTTGAGGCTTTCGGTGCTCCTGCCCTATGCGAATTTCTAGAAAACATTCTCCGAGTTTGAATGACACAGTTGAGCTTGTATGTAGGCAACCTGGCAGAAGGGTCGTTCTCATATAGTCAGACACACAGCACATGTTCAATTTCTACTGGTTCTTGTCCAGGGCACCGCGAGACTTCACCAATTCAACGTAACAAACAACTGGAATGATGACTCTCATTTCATACCTGTATCTGAACAAACAGGCTCACGATCTTGAGAAATTCCTTGGCACCCCATTTTCTTCACAAGAGCATGTCATTATTCCAGGAGTAGACTTGGAGGGCCTCTCCAAACATGCTGGTAGGAGTACTAGCCCTGGGCGGATTATCGTCATGCAGTGCCGTCAACCTACATGGTCCAGTGTGAATGCCAAAGCATTATTGGAGTTACAGGATCCTGTTTTTTTGGAAGTGTGGGGCACTACAGGGCTGAAGAATGACCAACATAAACCCAGGTTCCACTTCATGTTCCACTTGCTTTTCCGTGAGCAGGGCAATATCTGCAAACTCTACACACTCCGAATACATAAGCCCTATAAAATTGGTTGTAGCCAAAGTCCCCAACGCCCTAAACTCTGCGCCCTAAACCCCACGCCCTAAACCCTAAATAGTGGCCACAATGTGTCAGTCTGAGTCCTCTCAAAACAGGACCTGATGTACCGTGTAAGGAGGTGGGGATGTTGTGGACTGCAGCAGCACTGACATCTTCCTCCCCAGCGATCTGCTAGCATCAGAAAAGGTGCGAGGGGTTGGTAAAAAACGAAAAACCTAAACCCTGCGCCTTACACCCTAAACCCTAAACCCTAAGCCCTTAACCTTCCACTCCCCTAGCGTAAGCTTGCGCAGAAAAGGCGTGAAGGGGTGTTAAACAAAAAGCCCTTAACCTTAAGCCCTCAAACCTAAGCCCTAAACCCCAAAGGATCAGCTGCTCTATGGCTTGGCCTTTAGCCCCGACTCGGTAAAAGTGTGCGCAGTCGGGGCCTGAACAGACCTTAAGGGTCCAAGTACCCAACGAATGGGGTAAGTATAGGGTTTTAGAGGGGTTACGTAGGATTATATACATATATATATACATACATAAACAGTGCAGGATTATATAGGTGTTCTGTAGGACTATATATACGGGTTTATATAAGGCTACATAGGGGTTGTTTTGGACTTATCAAAAGATATATATACATATATATATATATTTATATTTATCTATTTATTTATCCATATATATATACATATATATACATATGTATATATAGATATGGGTCATATAGGGCTGTATACGGGTTATGTTTAAGTTGAACAAATATTTATAGAAGAGACCACGTCATGATGTCCTATGCAGAGCTGCTGTTGTACTTTAGTTGTTCGTTGTTCCTGTATTCTAGCATGCTAGCTCAAAAGGTGAATCGACTCTAAGGTTGGGTATTCCACTCGGGGGGGTTAGGGGACGGAGCATGCAAAGGCATGGCTTCAGTTCTATCGTAAGTTGGATACGACTAAGAGGCTGCACTGATGTTTGAGAAGCTCGGTTATACCCACCTGCCATGTCAGACGAGCCTCACAGAACAAGGTGAGCAGCACTGGCCTACTCATCATTTGGAAGGTGGACACTGGCGAGACCTTGGTCAGGCACGTCTTGATTTGTTTTTTGGTTTTGTTTCCCTTTGCCGAGGTATGCATAGACATCTTCAGACCATAGTACTGGGTACGTACCACTTGGGTAGGGTAGAATGGGCTACTAGGTGGCCCCGGTGTATCATTCCCCTAGAGGGACTTGCCATTGTGACCTGTAAACGGGCAAGACAGAGAAGAGATTACTTCGGCCTGCCTAATGACATTGTCTTATTGGTTCTTCACAGGGCATAAAGGAATATTTTATGCTGGTGATTATATTCCCTTATGCACCACTACCGTATTGAAGCACACCGAAGCAGTTGCAGCTGTTCAGGATCTTGTGTTGCATGAATAGGCTGCCTGGGGAGATCAATGTCTTCGTTGGAGGGTTGAGGTCCACGTCAATCTGAACCTTCAGCCTTTCTTTCCAGTAGAGGCTTATGCCCTACGGTAAAAGAAATAGTAGGAAGAGTACTACACATGTAGAAGAGTAGATGCCCGCAAAAGGCATAGGGCGCAACACGCAGAAGATTACGTCATTGGCCCAAGACAGTGTGTGAAGGGTATGTTCTTGCGCAACCCTAAAGCCAGAGTCCAATGCGTAGATCCCAACCTGCACATTCCGGGCTTCCATGAATCGGGGGCCCCAGATCTTTCGAACTCCGAACCCATAGGAACCACTACATTACATGATCCCAGTATGCATTTCCGTGTGGGTTGTATTTAGTGGGGTCGCATCCCTAATTTATTTGAAGCCCTAAACCATATTTAGCCGATCTCCATATGTCCGTATATCCTGTATGGAGTAAGGCTTGCTACGGTTTGTGCTTAGTGTATATAGGGTTTCCTAAGGAAATTATTGAGTGTCCATATTTGGTGTCCAATTTGGGGACCAGAAGTTCTATTCGTGTCATACATCCCCTAAATAATGCCTGAAGAACCTTATGCCTTGGGTACTGCCCCCCCTCAGTAACAGTTGGATAATAATTATAGTATGGTTATATATAGCCCTTAGTAGGACCCCTAATATAGACTGTTACTGGGTGGGGGCAGTACCCAACTTATGCCCCCTGCAAAGGGACCCATGTGGGCAGGGTATACGCCACTAGGAGTTTGCCAGCCAGGAAAGAGCTCCACA